TGATATTTTGAGCTTACAAGCGAGTTCTTATGTTTACATACTTGTGTGAATGATTGGTATGGGGACCAGGGGGCTTGGGTGAATTTTGGGATAGTTTTTGTCTATTCTTGCACAATATGCAACAGCTGATATACTATTGGTGTAGTGTGCATCGCAAACGCCAAGCATGTCTCGCTTTCGCGAAAGGTTATTTGAGTTGGGGTGGTTTTACGCTTTGTGAACGCGAAGAGAAGTTCGCGAACGCAATGGCCTGGGGGCATCTGGCCTTCGCATAATATTTTCCATACGCAAACTCATAGTCTTTGGGCGCTTAGGATATTGGTGGACCTTTCTTCATCGCGAACACTACATTAGTGTCACGAACACGAAAGCTTGGGGGATATAGCCTTCGCGGAAGAGGGGAGGGCTTCACGAACGCGATGGTCTGTTGACCATTGACATTCGTGAACGCGACAAAAATTGGTTTTGGGGATTTGGACCTTGATTTTAGGTCCAATCTTGATACAAATTATATATTTCGACGCATGCAAGAATGGGTAACCAGAAATTGGTTATTATTTCGGATTTCGACTATGTGAGCCCGAGTTGACATTTTTTGACCTTTTTAGATATGATGAAGATCGAAGATTTTTGAAACTATGATAGTTTCTAAAAGCTTGTTTTGACTTATTTGAACGTTATTTGATTAGATTCAAGTTGTTTGGAAGCTTGTGCTAGAGGAAAAGCTGTGTTGGATTGTTGATTTAGTTGCGAAAAGAGGAAAATATTGTAGTTAATCTTGATTTGTGGAATTAGGGTGCGATTGGTCTATTTGCTACGTGTTATATGTTGGGAACAACATATATGCAAGGTAACGAGTGCATATACATTGTCATGAGATTAAAGCATGCGGGGTAGAACTAGTTTATTACATGCCTTTACTTATCTCATGTCTTTACTTATTGCACGCTTTTACTTGTCCCATGATATTACTTGATACATGTCATTATCTAATACATGCTCTTACTTGATATATGCCTCTACTTGATACTTGCTTTTACTTGCCACATGAATTTACTTGATACATGCTTTACTTGACTTATGTCTTTACTAGTATATGTCTTTACTTGTTTCATACTAAACTTGTTTCATGCCTTAATTACCTATGCTACGTTAAATTGTATGACTTTTTGATCGTTTGTGTGTTAATGACCTTGTTAGGTTCTTGTTGAGTTATATGAGTGAGCTTTGCTTGGGATATGGGATTTCTATTACTCTTTGTTCGTATTCATCTTTTCCTTAATAAATTACTTATTTGTCCTCCTCGATAGTTTACTATGAACCTCGCTATATTGGTTGTGTCATTGCATTTCTTATGTGAATTGGTATATTGGATTGGATTGCCGCCGTAACAATATTATGATAAGGACCGAGTTGCTCAACGCAACAATTGTATGACCATGGGATTAGGTTGTCGCGGCAATAATATTTTTGTGTGTTCGATTGGGTTCTGTGCCACAACATATGCATTATTATGAAATGTTGGTGTTGTTATGAAATAGCTTTTTTTGTGGGCTTTGGGTTAATGTTTTCTTCCTTTTATTCCTGTTATTATACTGTTATCTCTATTGTTATTTCGGTTGCTTATTAAATGTACAGGTTTATATGGTAAGTATCTTGTAATAGCCTCGTCATTATCTTGTCGAGGTTAGGCTCAATACTTAATGTGTACATTGTAACGGTTAAACTCATACTGTATTTATGCACTTCTTGTACTGATTCGGATATTAGTACCAGCGGAGTCCCGAGGGGTGCTTAGCCGTTACCAGATAGATGATTTGAGGTAGAAGTATTCCTAGTAGTCATATGCTCTATGACACCAAATCTTGGGAGGTTAATTAGTCGGCGTTTGTTTTAGACTTATTATGTATTTTTTGAGTTATCTCTTATTCTATATTAATCCGTTGTTAGGCTATTTTCCTTATTTATTGTTAAGAGTCGGCTTGCCTAGCAAGTGATGTTAGGCGTCATCACGACCCCGTTAGTTGAGATTTTGGATCGTGATATTTGTTACCGTACATATTAATTTTTTAAGAAATGTAGCTGTCTAATTAGTGGAGTAATAAATTGTCACAGTATAAAGTATCTACAGTGGTACTGAAATAGTCATTGAACGCTTTGACACGGTATTACGGAACTCTTACGTCGTCAAATGCGCTGTATCTGTTGTGCTTGTTAAAAACCCACATTGTCCATTCATTCCATTCGTCTTCTCCCTGCCAAACAGAACTTCCTAGCTTTAAGCAACCATTGCCCTTCCTTGGTTTCATATCTGTCTCTCAAAAACTTGAATTGTCCACACACAAAAAAAAAAAAAGAAAGGAAAAACAGATGAGGTCTTTCACTGATGGGATCAGCCAGTGAACAATGCAAACAAAGCCTAAGTAAGGGAAAAATCTATCCATCTTCGTCGTTGTCCTTCCGGCTTCGATGCCCCACCCTCAATTCTCTTCACCTTCGCCGAAGTTTCGACGTATTCGACAGGAATCATGATAGCATGATCACCGTAGACGAACTGGACCAGGCGCTGAGCATACTCGGACTGAACACAGATAGATCTGAGCTAGAATCGATGGTTAAATTATACATAAAGCCGGGGAATGACGGCCTCAGATTCGAAGACTTTGAGGCTCTACATCGATCGCTCGACGATGCTTTCTTCGGATCAACGTTGGAAGATGAGTTCGCGGCGGATGACAGAAGTTGCAAAAGCAGTGCAGTGGAGGAAGAAGCGGATCTGACGGAGGCGTTCAAGGTATTCGATGAGGACGGAGACGGTTACATATCAGCGAGGGAATTGCAGGTGGTACTAGGGAAGCTGGGATTGCAGGAAGCCATGGAACTTGACCGAGTTGAGATGATGATTTCATCTGTTGACCAAAATCACGACGGCCGTGTTGATTTCTTCGAGTTCTAGGATATGATGCGTAGTGTTACCGTTCGCACTTCTTAGTTTCTCTTCTCTCTTGTTTTCCATTTCTTTTTCTCCTCTCTCATGAGTGGAGACTGACCGGTCAGTCGTGGTAAACTTTGGTTTACTATTGCCCTTTTGTTTTCCCTTNATATATATATATATGTTATTTATTATATATTACATATTATTATAAATGCACGAATATTTCACGCTAAATATTTAACGTTAAAAATATTCATAAAATATTGATCGATCTTATTAACCTTAATAAATTAAATTAAGCTTCATTGCATCATGGTCGCTAATTAGATTCGGGCATAGCGCATGGGGCGACGCGCCAATCCAATTTTCTCAGAGTATTTTTCCTGTTTCGGTTTGGAAATGGTAGTTTCGTCCGGGCCCACTCCTACATAGTATAAATATACCAAAAATACGTCTTTGGAGAAGCTTTTGGAGAGCTTTGGAGGCCACAAGATACAAGAGTTCATCATCTTTCCCTCAATTCAATACGGGAGTTTGGATTGTAACATTAAATTGATGTTTTCTTACTCTTTAATTATATTTGTGATGAATTGCTCCATGATTATGGAGTAGTTTCCCTTAGGATTTGACGGATATGGTGTTTGATTAATATTTGTGGATTTAACTCTAGTTCTTTGCTTGAATTCGTTCATGGAGCTTTGAATTGCTTGTAATTTTATTCACCGGTTTATTTAATCGAAAGAGGAATATTGTGGTATTTATCTTGAATTATTTTGTTTGGTTTAATTCAATGATTCTCTTATGTCATCGAAAGAGCTTGTTTAATTGTTGATTAAATCAAGTTAGGAGAATATTCAAGAGACGTTTTCCTGAAGATTAATCCATTAATGCATGCTTGCATATTTTGACAACGCTTATATTAGTTTACCTCATAGAGTTAAGATTTAATCGAGAGAGGAGTCTTGACTACACGTTTGAACTAATCATCGAGTGAATTCGTGATAATCATTAGAACATTAGAGTGAAACAAACTAGAGTGGGATTCCAAATAGCTATCTTACACCTATCTTGTCACGACCCTTATTTCTCCCATTGATTATTTCGGGGTTGCTCAACTTTTGTCTTTCTGTGATCAATTTTCACTTGTTTAGTTTTCATAGTTAATTTTAGTTATTAATCATCACAACCAAAGTGTTAATTATCCTGAATAACGTTAAGTTAGAAATTACTTGAACATTATTTAAATTCAATCCTCGTGGAGACGAAAATTAAACTATACTATCTTTGACTAGCGAGCATCAATTTCATATTGTGTTTTGCGCTAGTCATAATTTTTCCCAAAAGGTGGCATGCCCGGGAGATCTGCAGGAAACACATATAGAAAGTCTCTCACTTTCGGAACGGACTCAATGGTTGGAGTATCAGCACCGACATCCCTCACAAAGGCCAAATATGCCATACATCCCTTCCCAACCATCCGTCGGGCCTTCAAATATGAAATCACTCTACTAGGAACATAGTCAAGAGAACCTCTCAACTCAACCATAGGCAATCCAGGCATCGCCAATGTCACGGTCTTATCGTCACAATCCAGAATAGTGTGACATGGTGACAACCAATCCATGCCTACAATCACATAATAATCAACCATGCTAAGCAGTAAAAGAGAAACTATCATCTCCAATCCTCCAATAGTCACAACACACGACCGATACACATGGTCTACAACGATAGAATCACCTACCGGTATAGATACATGAACAAGAATAACTAAGGAATAACAGGGCATATCCAAATAATGAGCAATGTATGATAATACATATGAATAAGTAGAACCAGGATCAAATAATACTGAAGCATCCCTATGGCATACCGAAACAATACATGTTATCATGACATTAGAAGCAATCGCCTCTAGCATGGCTGGAAGTGCGTAGCAATGGGCCTGACCACCACCTGATCGACCTCTCCCTCCAAGGCGGCCTCGAGCTTACTGAGCCCCAACCTGAGCTGGTTGTGCGAGTAATGTAGCTGCTGGTTCTAGAGTCAGAGGCTAGGAACTCTGCTATGGAACCCTATCCAATAGTCTGGGGCAATCCTTCTTGAGATGACTCAACTCCCCGCACTCAAAACAAACCCTCCTCTGACTGAGCTGCTGACCCTGATGATCTGAATAGTTGCCTGAGGAACCCTGTGCAGATGAAGCATGGTAAGAACTCTGTGACGTCAACACACTGAATGATGATTGAGCTCGACGACCACTGTAGGAACTGTGTCTAACGGAAGAACCACGTGGAATATGGCGAGCTGTATGAATGGGTCTAGAAGAACGATCTCTACTATAGTAGGGCTGGACTCCAGATGAGGCACTGCTAAAACCACCTGAACTACGAGGCCTCTTGGCCTCCCGCTCCTCACGCTCCTGCCTACGAACTAGCTCTACGCTTCTAGCAATATCAACCACTTCATCAAACCTCACACCCGTCATAACCTCTCGACCCATAATGAAGCGTAATCCATGGTTGAGGCCATGAATGAACCTCCTAATCTTCTCCCTCTCAGTGGGAACCAACCATACAGTGTGATGAGCCAACTCTGAAAACCTCATCTCATACTGAGTCACGGTCATATCCTCCTGGCGTAGCTACTCAAACTGCCTACGCTACTCCTCTCTGTGAGTCCATGGGAAAAACTTCTCTAAGAAGAGAACTGAGAACTCATGCCATATAAGTGGCATTGCATCGGCTAGACTGCCAAACTCGTAAGCCTGCCACCATCGGTAAGTTGCCCCTGTCAGCTCAAAAATACAGTAAACGAAACCCCACTGGTGTCTAAAATACCTGTTGTGCCAAGAATCCGCTGACATTGATCTATAAAATCCTAAGCATCCTACGACTGTGCTCCACTGAACAATGGAGGCGTAAGCCTCCCAAATCGCTCCAATCTTTTTTGCTCTTCATCACTCATATGGGGATCAACCTCGGCCCTAGCAGCATCAACTGGCTGAACTGGCATTACACCCGGTGTCTGGAGTCCCTAAGCTAGCTGCTCTACAGTACGGGCGACAGGAGTCTGGGCACCTCCTCCGGCTTGTAAAGTGGTTGGTGCAGCTTGAACTGAAACTGCCTAAGCCAAGCTCGTGCACACAGTCAAAATCTGGGTTAAGGCCTCTTCAAGGTCAGGAATCACAATGGGCACTGCTGGTGCCTAAGATGGTCCCACCGGCTCAATCACATCTGGTACTTTCCCGTGAGCTGGAGCAACTGGTGGCTCCACATGTGCTGCTCTGGCTGTAGTACGAGCCACACCTCGGCTTCTATCACGGCCCTAGCTGGTGGTACTGTTGCCGTCCGCCTAATCCGGTAGCACGTGTCCTCACCGTCTGTGAGAGAATAGAATAGTCAAGTTCAAATTTTTTAAATAGCAAATCGGCATGACAAGAATACAAGAAAGTGAAGTTTCCTAACAGTTCGGTAGCCTCTCGAAGATAAATATAGACGTCTCCGTACCGATCTGCAAAACTCTACCAAACTTGCTCATGACTCATAATACCTATGAACCTAGGGCTCTGATACTAACTTGTCACAACCCAAAATCTCTACACATCGTGATGGCGCCTAATACACCGGCTAGGCAAGCTGAAACTTAAGAATAAAGAGCTAAAACAACATAAATTATAGAAATAGCATAGGTCCAAAACCTCAATGTAACAATATACTGCCAATACAAGCTAAATCCCCCAGAAACTGGTAAATACGAAGTCATGAGCTCTACATCGGAATACAAGTCAGAAGACTAAATAGTAATATTGTATGAACTGAAGCAACAGTACATAAGAAAAGACAAGTTAAAACTGCGGTCAAGATAGCAGCTCTACCTCACCTCTCGAAGCTCAGTCCAATAAGCAAATTTACTGTCGATAATTGGTCCCTACACCCGGATCTGCACAATTAAGTACAGATTGTAGTATGAGTACAATCAACCCAATATATTCAATAAGTAACGTAACTAACCTCAGCTAGGTAAAAGAAGCGAGAACTCTGAATGATACTAGCTATAACCTGTACCGTTTCATCATTTTAACAAGTACATAACCATAATGAAATCAAGTCATGAAGCACATGATGAAGCATTTGTGTGTGTATGTGTACAGTTAGTCAAATACTCTGCTCAGTCAATGTTCAACATATTGAGATGCTATGTAGTTAAATCGGGTAATTAACCACGGAAATTGTAAGTAAAGATGAAATGCAAAATCCAAACAAACACTGGCCAGATTTCCTCAATATTTCCATATCCGAACCAACCCACTGATCAGTTTTCCTCAATATCCGCATGTACACCATCAAGAGAGTAACATGAGAGGGTGACCCTAGGAGGATGGATCCGTATCAACACGCTACATGGAAAACTCGTGTGCTAATAATATAAACTGCACGGATAACTAACGTGCTAATAATATCAATATCTGGATCTGCACGAACAGCTCATGTGCTGCACGGACAACTCACATGTCAATAATATTAACCGCACGGAAAACTCACGTGCCAACAATCACAATCCGACTGGCGTGGTCATAGGCTACCGGTCCAGCTCATAACAAAGAGAAAGCAGGTATACTAGAATACATGTACATGATAAATGATTACCAATTTCATACTCCTGGACTGGTATATCTATCATGCTATACTGTAGGAATGTGCAATGTGTGCTATCATATTTAAGACAAATAATTTCATCATGGAATAGCAGTTTTATAAGTTCCAACCGGGAAAATAACCTCAATGAAACCTCAACGTGGTGCAAATAGCTCACATAGGGGTACACATAGGAGAAACAACTTACTTTGAAGCTTAACAATCAATTCAAGGAATGACATAGCCTAAGCACTACCCTGAGCATGGATAAATACCCCGGTGTTAGCACATGGGCTCAAACCCCACACATGCGCACACCCACAACATGTAGCTATCACAAATAATTCAGGCAACTAGTGCCTCAACCAAGTTTAAATAAGATACTTACCTCAAGTAAGCCAAATCACTCATCTAACAAGCCCTTCACGCACGTATCAACCTCCGAACGATCTGAATCTAGCCAAGGTAATGCAATACAATCAATAAAAGCCATAGGAAGTGATTCCAAAAGATAAAGCTTAAGGTCTCTAACTCAAGTCAAAAAGTCAACCCAAAAAATAAACCCCGGGCCCGCACCTCGGAATCCGACAAAATTTATAAATTCTGAATACCCGTTCAATTACGAGTCTAACCATACCAAAATCATCCAATTCCAACCACAAATCACCCCTCAATCCTCAAGTCTAACTCTCCAGTAACATAGTCCAAAAATCCCCAAATTCTAACTTAGATTCATAAATATTAGGTGTAATAGCAATGGGTATTCAATATTTATGGACAAGAGTGATTAAAAGTCACTTACCTCTTCAATTACGATGAGAATCACTCCAAAAATTGCCTTTGACCGAGTCCGACAATTTCAAAAATAAGAAAAACATGAAAACCCTCGACTTTAATACAGTGCCCGACGATTTCGCTTCTACGGGCTCAAGTATCGCACCTGCGATACCGCTTTTGCGGAAAAAGTCATGCTTCTGCGAAGCCCACTAAGAATCCCGACCTGTCGCTTCTACGGTCTACCTCGCGCTTCCATGCGTCTGCACCTGTAGGAACCATCCGCATCTGCAGTCCCCAGCTCCTCAAGACAAAATCCGCTTTTGCGGAACTCTCCTCGCAAAAGCGCCTTCGCTTCGACGAAAACGCTGCACGCACCTGGGAAAGTTCCTTAGCCAGACCCAGTTCTGCTTCTGCGTCCCACCAGCCGCACCTGTGGCCAAGACCACCGTAGGTACGATTACACCAGCAATCCAAAACCCTTCATCCATGCTCTAAGTCCAAATATCGATCAGTTAACTATCTCAAACTCACCCAAGGCCCCTGAGACCTCAACCAAACATACCAACAAGTCCTAAAACTCGATACAAACTTAATCGAAGTCTAAATCACATCAAACAACATCAAAATCACGAATCGCACCCCAATTCATGCCTAATGAAATAAATGAATTTCCAATTTCTAAAACAAATGCCGAAACATATCAAACCAACTCTGATGGATCTCAAATTTTGCACACAAGTCATAAAAATGACACAACAGACCTATTTCAACTTCCAGAAGAAATATTTGGACCCGATACCGACAAAGTGCACTCTCGGTCAAACCTCTCAACCGTCCAAACATTCAACTTTCAAACTTTCGCCAAAATATACCAAATCAACCTAACTACCTCAAAACTCCACATCCGGACATATGCCTAAGTCTAAAATTACCATACAAAGCTAACGGAACCATCAGAATTTCATTCTTGAGTCGTTTATACAAAAGTCAAACTACGGCAAACTCATTCAACCTTGGGACTAAGTGTCCCAATTCACTCCGAAATATCCCCGGAACCAAACTAACCACCCCGGCAAGTCACATTATCGTCATAGAAAGTCATCACAAATAGAGTTGAATAATAAATAAACATGAATTCAATCCAAACTCGAGTGTTGAGTTGAGGAAAGAATGATGAATCCTTGTGCTTCGAGTCTCCAATGCTTTTCCAAGCTAAAGTGGGAAATTACTCTAAGGAAAATACACAGGCGCCGCGCGCCTCGCGTCGCCCCATGTGCCGCGCCAGTGGGGAAGTTCAGAGAGCTGATTTTTTCCACTCTGCAGGAATTTTACATAAGCCCCTAGTGCCCCGCAGCACAGTAGTGCATTTTTCTCAGAGTAATCTTTTTTTTCTCACATTTTGACATCCAAACTTGATCCTTGACCCCCGAACGCAATCCCTGTTTAATTCCTTGGGCTTTCTCAAACTTCAAAGCTCCAAATTGTTCGATTTAGGTCCAGGTTATCTTTTTAACTCGGAATCACTTCCTGCAAGGCATAAAATACATAATAAGTGCAATTCACTATCATTTAAGCTCAAACATAGGTAAAATGCAGTAATTAGAGTGAAAACTATGACTAAAACACAGGTTTCTAGCCTACCATCAACACATTAAAGAATGCATGACTCACAGAAGAAGTCACTATCGTTCCAACACAAGAATAACAACAGTTAACCAAATACGATCAAAATACAAGTGAAATTACTTAAGGAAAAATAATAACCGTTTAACCAACAAGTTGTTCCAACACAGAATGTGCAGTGAGAATCACAACTGAGGATAAATCTACAGTCACAAACAATTACAACATATCAAACCGTTGCGGCGCACAACCCAATCCCACCATATTATCATTTGTTCAAAATATATTCGTTCTTATTTCTTCATATCATGTCAATACTGTTGCGGCATGCAACCTGATCCCACCATATTATCATCTGTTCAAATTATATTCCTTCCTTATTTCTTCATATCATATCAATACCGTTGCAGCATGCAACCCGATCCCAAGATTTTCAAATTATTAACATAAA